CTAACATAAAACAAGGGGATGCTGAAAATTTGGGGGCCTGATTCACTTTCCAACATCTGACCAAGTAACTAAACATCAGGATTTTATTTTATTTTTTGATCCTTTTTTAGTTGGGCCAAGAACTTTTCAAGCTCCACTCCATATATACAATATAGATTTATATACTTATAACTTGCTGAAACAAATTTTTTAAAACAGTCTATTATTTTATTTAAATGTGACAGACCTTGCTAAATGTGTTAAAAAAATCTTGCAGATAATTTAACAAAATACTACTTCTGCCCCATAACAGTTGATATATTTTCATGGTTTTCTTTTGATTAACACTTATTAAAGCTTATATTCATATGCCTTAATAATGTGTTATTATATTTAAACCTGATTGTAGCAATTTAAAAAAAAAAAAATATGAGATGTCTTAAAGCAAATATTTAAATTTTTAAACCCGCACCTGATGTGTTTACATATTTTAGCAGAACTATGGGTAGAAATTTAAGAACATGTTTGGAAAAACCCAAAATAGCAAACATCGTGATATAGAGTTATAATGTTCTAAAAATAGACATGAAAATCAGCTACAAAACCTTGATGCTTACTTTAAATGTTAAAAAATCCTTAAATGTGAATTATTGGTTTCTCAAATAATTGTTCCAAGCACTGAATTAATTTCCTTTTCATTGAGATCTTTTATTTTTATTTACAAATCTCACAAGTATTTCAGGACAAATTTCATCATCTAAATCTATCAGTTATTATTGAAACAGAAGCAGTACTTTGTATTATTTTCCCATATAAATAGAAGATAAGAGAGTTTATTATAAAACTGAAAAACATCATTCAAAAAAATGTTATAGATATTTGATTCACAAAATATATTCCAAGATGTTGGAAGTTTATTGATGTTATGAGTTTAACAGAAATGCAATGCAAAAATTTCAGCAGTCAAATTCTTAAAATATGAAGTTTGCCTATTGCCAAGAATACAAATTAATACTGATTGGCGCAGGGGGTGGGGAATATTTAAAAACTTTTGTGCAATCAAAAATTGAAAAAATTTGAAGAAAAATAGTTCTATATTGTCATGAAGTTGCATTATCACATTGGTCTATTTTCTTAAAAACTATAATTCAATTTTGGTTTTGTTAAATGGGTCTCTCTTCATTTTAAATCAAAAAAAGAATTAGTAACATATTAAGTTTTGGTAAGTCCTTATAGTAAAAAAAGTAAATCACAAACCAGTTTTTATAAGAATAAATGTTTTTAGAGATTTTCCTTAAGAATTTCTATTGTTATTTTGTTTTTATACAAAATTATTATTCTAGAAATATTTTTCATTCTAAGGAGTTCTTGACATTTCAATCATTTCCATTTTAAAAAAAATGAAATAGTGGAAGAAACTGAAGAAAAAATAAATTTTTCTAAACATTTTTGTAAAATAAAATCATAAAGTTGACACATCATCTTGTTTAGTAATCTAAATTTTCTCCCATAAATATTTTTCAATAGAAGCATCAAAACTTGAATAAAAAATCTTAGTTATGCCTCATGAATTATGATTAACATTTGAATAACTGACACAATAAAAAAAAATCTTTATAATAAAAAAGAGATTGAGATCAGTAATCTTAAGTATTTGAAATTAATAACTTTTGAAGTCATCATATAACACTGCAATGTATATTTAACTCAATATTCCCATTTCACCAACTCCCCTTACAAAACATCTGTTCTTTAGTAATAAATTCCTATCACTCAGATTTTAAAGTACATATTATTATTCTCTATGTTTAGAGATTAAAAAATATTTTGGTTTAAAATTATGACCAGGCATCTCAGCTTCAGTCACTTTCCCATTGCTGTAATGTAGCTTCCCTGTGCTTTTTCTATAAATCCTTTCACGACAATTTTTCCGATGAACTTTCCTCTATGGTACCTAGACTATACAAATTTAAGTTAAGTACTAGATTGGCAGCAAGGTCTCATTAGTTTACATTTGAAATGGCTGCTAGATGTGACCGTATGTTTTATGCTAACAGTTTCTTTTCGCACACTTCTTGCTTGTGGAAATCTCTTCCAGCTTCTTGCTTTCCAGTCAAATTTGATCTTCAAAAATTTAAATGTAATGTCAATTGTTATCTTCTGTCTTCTTGATTATTGTTTTTTATTGTTTCTCTTGCCTTAGTTCTTTTTTCTCATGTTCTCTCATAGTCAGTAATCCATCTTAGTGGCTTTATTGCCTTGCTTGGGGTGAAATGATAGAAAAAAACACCCTCTTTGCTTTCAAAAAATAAAACAGATTTACTGAAATTTAAAATTTTGGATAGCTAGAATTTCTTATATTTATTTTTCTCTTTGTAAATAAGTTTACTAACTTTGGTTAGTTTGTGGCTCAGGGTCATAAGGTCAAAGGTTGTATGGTGCTAATTCACTAAACAGGAAAGGTCAACTTATTTTGAAAATCAGCATTCAAAATCCTAGCTTTTACCTGGGTTTGAATCCTGTCTGCACTTGTTAGTAATAAATATATAACTACTGTAGTCATCAAAAAGGCCATAGAAATTGAACAGATTATTATTAGATGTAATTTGCTTAAAAACTATAATCTGATGATAGAAAAACTAAAATCTATTCATGGAATGATTAGTTTTGAGATGAAATTACACAAAAAAATTGTTTTTATCTAAATGCAGGAATTTAGATTAAAAGAAAACCAAATGAAAGTGTTTGAATCTTTTATCCTATTGTATGGCTTGTAAAAGATTTAAAATTTTTGAGATGTGCTTTACTTGACTCCCACAAAATTTTAATGAAATATTTAAGTTATGAATCATTGGATATATAAAATACACTGAGATTAGAAAATAATCATAAAAGTAGAGTATGAGATTGGTCTTGTCCTTTTACAGTTGAAATGGTTAAATATAAGTTCTATGGTAAAAGTTTCTTCTATTGCACTTCTTGCATATTGTAACTCTTTTCTGGCTTCTTGCTTCCCAATCAACTTTGATCATAAAAAATTTAATTGCAATGTTAATCATTCTTAATTCCTGTTCTTTTATAGTTCTCTCTCCTTAATAGAGTTTTTTCTCATATTTTCTTACATTCTGTAACCTCTTGCATCTTAGTGGCTTTATTGCCATGCTTGGAGTGAAATGATTTAAAAAAACAAATTGGTTCAACTATGGTACCTAGACTTTATGAATATGTGCTGTATTAGATTGGCAGCAAGGAAGGTGTGATCATTTTACAGTTGAATTGGCTTGATGTAACTGTAAGTTCTATGCTAACAGTTTCTTCTATCACATTTCTCTTTCTGTAATAATATTTTTGCTCATATTCTCTGACTCAGTAACCTCTTGCCTTACTTCATTTCACTTACTGGTGAAATGATTAAGAAAAAAAACAAAAAAAGAAAATGATTTCAGTAATACTGTTTCTGTCCCATAAAAGTTGTTACATTTACATACACATTTTATGCACTAAATGTAACAAATATTATGAGACAACTGTAGTAAAAATCTGTTTAATTATGAATATTTTGCTTAAATAAATGTAACCTAAATTTACATTCAAATCCTAACACTTATCAAAATGTACATAAATTTTAAAACACTAACTGTAAAATGTAAAATGCAAATTATTTCAGAAGACTTTATGATACAATTCTTATGAATTTTTATTTCATAATCCTATATTCATATTTTGAATTTAAACAAATAAAGTTATTTAAAAAAATGTTCCAGAAAAGGGATGCGAAATATTTGTATATGAAACAGACTGATGACTTTTTAAAGGGTCAGTGAGGTTCTGTGGTCAACTATATTATCTAATTAATTGATGAGCTATAAAACACTGCTGTCTTGTGTAGGCAGATCTTGCCATTAATTGCTTTCTAGAGTCAGCCATTTTGTTGCGAGAAAATTGTTTTATGATATAAAATGATCTTGAGAAGTTGTTACTAATAGAGGATCTCATTATTTTTCAATTGTGTGAGGGCAGATAAGATCTAATTAAGATTTAATATCTGTCAGTTTAATAATTTAATAATATTTTTTTGAAATAGCAAAAATGAATAAAAAGAAAACTTTGCTTATCTTGAACTTAGAACTTTTTTATGAAACATTAGTTTACAATTTGTGATTTTTTCAATATTTTATAAAGCAATCAACATGTCACACAAGCCACAAAATAGTCAGGATGATGGTGATAGTAAAAGATGTTGCTGAAGACTAAAGCACTTTGCATTTGTACATTTGTAGTGATTACAACAATAGACCATAAATAATTAATTAATGATGATGGTAGGGGGTGAGGTCAGATGTTAATTATTAGGAAATGTTTTAGATAAAAAAGTAACCATAAAAATGTTTTTTCCCCATTCATACCGAAAAATAAAAGAATAATTTAGAAAGATTTTTTTTGTTTTTGTTTTACTGTCATAATTTATCTCACAGAGTTATCGTTCTTGTTAGCAGAACTAAAAGTGTATTCTGAAACGTTGCAGAGGAAAAAAAACACACAACTCAAATGGAGGTAAAATAATTTTGGTCAGTATAAACCTTACTGGGCAGTGACTATATCTCCCATTTAATTCTGAGGCTAAGAAATGGATTTTTAAGAGCAGGGGGGTATATAGCCCACTTTTTAAGATTGCAAAAATGAAAAAACATCTCAAAATTAGTTTCCATTTTTTGACAATCAAATAATCCTATTTCTTTATTTAAATGATTTTTGACTGTAAAAATCTGATGGTAATCAATTAGATGAATATAATTTTTATTAATTCTGGGATGTTATTTGATAAAGATTTGTTCCTTTGAAAATTAATGGGAGATTTTAGCTGTATCCTGCAATAGTAAAGTTAATACTGACTATAATTTTTCTTGAAAGCTTTTGCATTGGTAGCGACCGAAAAGGACTCCCCTGCCACCCTCTCACTCTTGTCTTGCACGCCTGCCTGCCTGCCTGCCTGCCTGCCTGTCTGTCTCTTAAAACAGTTGTTAATCTGAGTCTAAACAACGTACGGGTGTGGAAGAACTGCTGTTATAGGGACAACTCTCATCATCACTGTGGTTGCCTACACATTCCACTGTGGGGACATGGCCACTGTCCCACATGCCTGTACCGCAGAGCGAACAAAGTCCATGCAGAGTACAGGGAATTTTGGGAATTTTTCGGAATTGGTGTAATAATCCACGGGCCTGAAAATGAAAACAAGAAGGCAATGCTGAGTAAAAGGCATGAAAAAATATTTTTGTCATGTTTCTACACTTAATTAAAAGCAAATATTTATAGACAGTACAACTGAAGTCATAACATGGGCAAAATGTTACAAATGATTAACAATTTGTAGCTTTTGTTAAGAAAAACTTTAAAAATTTATCTAAATTAAGATTTTGTACAATGAACAAATTAGAGAGATTCAAATTATAATGAACATATTAAAACATTCATTCTATTAATTAATCAGTTTCAGACAGATAAACCCCTTTTATTGAAATAAGATACAATATTCCTATTGAGTTTCCTACCAACTTAAAATAAAATTTAATTCTAATTCATGGTGAAAGATCAAAATTACACAGCATTTATCAAATAAAAATTACACCACATTCATCAAATTATTATTCTGTAAAGTTTCATCTTTTAATTATGTATGGTTATTAAATTATTAAAAATTTTATACCCTTCAAGTAACACATTTTAAAATGCAGCTGAGTATTTTTCTGTTAAATAATTACCCACATTTAGTGCCTGTATGTCATCCTGTCAGGGCTAAATAAAAAGGACAATATACCAACAGTCAGTTTTGCATGAAGTCTGAGTAGCAGATGAATGTAACCATTTGAGTTGACATACTAAGAGGAGCCATTAACAAATCTTCCCATGTCTTGTGCATGAAAACTGCCTTCATAAGAAACTAGACTCAAAATAGAAAATTACTTTTTATAAAACACCAACAATTTCTGAAGTATAAAATTTTAGATTTACACTTTAACTGCTTTCTTTTTTTTTTCTATTTTTCTTTGTGGATGAGTTGAATATTTTTACAAGGCCAAATTTACATCCCTTCAACCATAATATTTGAATTTTTAGCCCTTTTACATGAAGAGGAGAAATATATTAAAAATACTTTTAAGCTCCCCCAATACCCTAATTACTTCATATTCAATGCAGAACAAAAATCTCGTAAAAAATATTTCAGAATAGAGAAGCATATCTTCCTGAAAACCCCAACGAATCAAAATGTATTACTTTACCCACCAACTACAACTGAAAAGAATTTATCTAAGCTTAAAATAAAATTTGTTACAACTACTTCTAAAGCAATGAAAAGCTTAACAAAAATAACAAAATAATAAGCTAAAATTTGAAGGAGAAATTTACTCTATCATTTGTAATAATTACCACAAAAAATACATAGGAGAAACCACTAGGATTTAAATAAAAGATTACATGAACAGAAAAGGGATCTTTTACAAAAAAAACACACTAAATGCATTAGTTGCTAACAATAACGAACCTGACTATAATTTTGACTTAAAAATGCTACTCTATTTAAAACAGAAAGCAATTCACTAAGATGAAAATATATAGAAAGTGCTTTAATTGCTAGATCGTCCATGGTAAATTTGTGCTCAGGTTCTTACAGTGTCTCACCATTCTTGTTGTCAGATCTTGTTATGACAATGTGGGATATTTAATAACAAAAGTGATGGAAACCTGAACAAGAAGAAAAAGAAACTAAATGAAATCAGTTAGACTAAAGACCCAAAACAATTTTAAAAAAAGAAACTTCAATTTAAATTTCCCAGTGACCCTCTCCTTGTGTGCATAACTAGTTGCATCAATGCAAACCTAACTCTAGTCCAATGAAATCCTAAAGGATGAAATGCATCACACAAAATCTTTTCCACTTTATCATAGTTTTTTCCCTAAAATTGTTTGATATATAAAACATTTAGATCTCATATTATATATATATATATATATATATATATATATATGGGAGATAATATGATATATAATATGCAAGTATGCCCTTCTACTAGGGCAGCTAGCAAATCTGTGAAGAGAGCATGTTATCTTGGTCATGATGACTTATGACTTTGTGCTAACACTACCACCGATGGCTCCCAAACGCTTTTGTCTACCCAATTTCACTTACAAGGCTTAGGTCAATGTGTTTTCAGGCACTTTCTAGAAGTGCTGCAGGTTGAGATCACCTCCTCTAGACCAATAACATCAAGAAGTCACCTTCCTGACAAATCAATCATGAACCTGGGCCTCATAGTCAGAGAGCGAACAGTCTAACCACTCAGCTACACCCCCATATATATGATACATAAACTCTATATATCAGACAAATTTAATTCTCTTCCACTACACATGATTCCATCAATGAAAACATTTAGCCTGAAGAAGTCCTTTTGAAGGACAAAATGTGCCAGGATACAATTATTTTCTTTTTTGTCATTCAATGACCCATAGGAAGAATCTGTAAATATATAAGACAATTTAGAAAACTTCTTTGACATATTTCACCAATGAGTATCAGAAAAACTTTGTTGCAAGTCAAACCGAATTTAAATGGATTGGAATGATTTTTTTTTTTTAAATTGCTAAAATTAGCCATATTGGCAAATCTGTAAACTATAAGAATTTTATATTTTTTAGTTCTGTAAAATAAAGTTAGTCTTTAGTTAAAAGTGTAAATAAATAAATATTATAATCTTCCAGGTTGTTTTTTTTATACATTCTTTTGAGAAAAATGTATTTTTAAGAAAGCCAGATGGTTTGTAAAAAAAAACAGTTGTGTGAAAATTTCTATTTGTAGAATTAGCAGTTAAAGAACTGTTGAAATTATATCCTTGTGAATTGTTGTGGATCCACCTTTTGAATTAAAAAAAAAAATGTTATCGTATTTACTGATCAATCAGAGATGTGGTCTCATGCCATTTTAAAACTTGGAATTGGGGTCTCTGGGAGTTTACCGTTTTCTCATAAAAGGGGGCAGATTAGCAGATCAGAAAGAATTCAGACATCAAGGAAAAAGGCACTTAAATGTCAGTTGTGAAGGAACCAGTCCAGCAGCAGGAAGTGGAAGGGTTTTTTTGATGTCCACATGCGAAAATCACTAGCCACCACTAGTTGAACAAAGGGCTTTGGTATTCACAGGGATGTCGACAATGAAAGGGAAGAAAAAAAGAAAAACTTGAAAGTGTTCCACACTGTCGCCAACAACAAAAAGAGAACCTCACAGAAAGCATAAAGAAATTTCCAAAATATTGTTAAAGGTCACAGAGATGTTTGTGGAATAAGTCAAAGTATATAAATACTTGTTACAAAATAAAATCCTTGCATTTGCCTTGATAAAGTTCCTCAGAGGACAAAATGTATCGACTAAGATAAGTTTTGTTTTTGTCTTTATTCATATTGTCCTTTTACAGATCTACTCTATCTGAAATTATATATATATATAAATAAATATAAACACCAAAAATTGAACAAACCTAACACTGCATAATTAATACTTCAATATATAACACCAAGGCAAAAACAAATAAACTACTAGATTGTTTAAAAAAAACACTGTTTAGTGACATTTTTTGGGGGGAACCAAGGTGTCTTTTGGCCAACAGATCCTCAGGGACCAATGATGGTAAAAATTATTGTATCAAAATTGGTATAAATAAATAAGTAAATGGTGTAAGATTTGAGGTACGTCTAAAACATGTAAATTAATGATTAAAATATATGTAAATTCGAAAGTTGTAAATATATATAAAATATTTATTAGCTAAGCATTAATATCAATTATTTATATAAAAAAATAAAGAAAATGAAAATAAAAACATAAATAAATGAAACAACTTTCCTAGCAAAAAAACCTAAAATGTTCATAAATAAAAATAAATAAATAAATAAATTAAAATAGGTCACATGTCTAGAGCTGGAACAAAAGCTAAAGTGAGCAAGTGTAGAAAAATAATGAAGAAAAGGGCAAAATGATCACAACACACATCTGTGCAGATGGGAACACACAAGCAAACACACAAACAGGTGCATAACTGCATGTGGACAAGCACACACACAAACACAGAGAATACAGAAGAAAACTTACACCATTGTTAAATGTGCATAAATAGAAAACATATAAGCAGTAAATTGCTGATACCTCCTGAAGAGTGGACAGACAAGTCTGTCTACGAAACTCTGGAGTTGGGATGATGAAGGTAACATCATTCAGCTAAGTGACAAATTTTATTCACATTAATCCTATATTATATATATATATATATATATATATATATATATATATAGCTCATTGTGTGTGTGTGTGTGTGTGAGAGAGAGAGTGTGAATAAAATACAAAATAAAGTATAAAGAATTCTTTTTGATTTGTCTGCTTTTAGGTTATGCGTATCTGCCCCCACCCTTGTTCTCTTTAGAACAAGACAGAGATTCAATTAAGAAGTTATACCTTGCGCAAGACCAGTTCTCCATTCATGTGCATGGCCAGGCTACTGAAGTGTAGCAGGATCTCATCCTCAGGCAGGTCTTGCTCCACCACGTCTTCACCATAAATACTCACAATGGCCACACAGATGAACAAATGGAAATAGTCAGTCTGGTAATGAGCCCAGCAGGATTCCCAGATACGAAGTGCATCTGTTTCAGGAAATTCTCTTTTGAAGCAGAGTAGAATCCATCTGAAAAACATGGAAAAATTGGTAAATCTAAATTTTATTCTAATTTTTTGTATTTATAGAAATCATGAACAAATTCATTTAGGAAAAAGTTCAGCAGTGGTACTCAACCTTTTTTGCCCAATGCACCCTTTTTACCATAAGTCAGAATGTCATCCCCTCGCTTCCAAGAGAAATGTTCACTCAACTAATGTTCATTGGTATCCACCCAATTATGGTCAGTCAATCATAAAAAAATCTTGTTATAATGTTAAAGACTAGAATATCTCAAGAAGATTTTACTAAGACATAGTTTAATTTAACTGTTGGTTACATGGGTTTTTCAAACTAGCAATTACCTTTCCTCAATTCTGATGCTTAATAGTGCTATACAGTTGTCTGGATTCTGAACTAGACAGGGAGGTTAGTGAAAGTGAAAGAGAAGACTAAGAATAGGGAGGATTGAGGAAAGATGAACAGAGTTCAAGAAGACAGAAGATGGTGATTGATGTTGCATTTAAACTTTTGAAAGTTGTAGTTATCAGGGAAGCAAGGAAATGGAAGGAAGTTTCACAGGTGGGAACTTAGAGAAAAGAAACTGTTGGAATAGAAGTGGCAGCTGCATTTAGTTATTTCAACATTAAAAGGGTATGACCTCCTAGCTTCCAATCTAAGTAGCATGCTTAAATTAATATATTTGAGGCATCAGAGAAAAAAGCTTGCCCGAACATTTGCCATGAAAATATTTGTAGAAAAGACAGAGGGAAGCCACATTACATTGGTAAGAAAGTGACTGAATTTGAAATGCCTGGTCAGGATTGATTACATTACAGATTCTTTGGATTTTTTCAAGAATCTCAAGATGTACAACAGGAGCACCAGACCAAATATGGCAACAGTATTCAATGCATGAATGAATGGTAGAGTTATAGCTTTGATGATGATATACCAACAATCATATGTGCTGATTTGCTCATCTCTCCCAGGTTAGGATTGTAATCTGGTGGATTGTTATTATGATCTTCTCTCTTCATGTCTCTTCAGAACTATTATCTGTTCTGTCTTCATCTTTTCTTTCCACTCCACAGTTCAATGCCCACTCATATATATGGAATTCAACCTCCTGGCTGTTATGAGCAATGAGAAAATTTAACCATTAATTTATATAATCTAAATGTTTTCTTTGTTTGACCAAGCAGACTCAGCTGCAAACTCTACCCAAAATAAAACCCTTGATAATAGTTTTAGGATCCCTTATATGAATCTGAAAAATTAAATAAACAATTTCATTAAACAGAAATGGCAGAAGTGCTGGACCAACAAGGCAAATAACAAACTTTGCATAATCAAACCGGTCCTGGGTGAATGGAGGGGGATGTTTAGAAAAAGAAGAATGGCTGAGGTAATTTGGGCTTGACTGCACATACCTCACTCACTCATACTTGATGAAGAATGAAGAATGAAGATCAATCAACATGTACAACATGCCAAACCACACTCACAATGAAACATATTTTAATTGAATGTAATCATTTAGCACTTGTAAGACATAAATATTACTATATGAAAATACTGAAACTGTCAATATAATGTCCAACTTTAAAGAAATAGGTTTACACCAAAATATATAACAGATCATGTACAATCTATGTATCTATAAATCTATATATCTATATATCTATCTTAAATCTATGTATCTATAAAATAGGTATTACTCTTAAAGTATAAAATTATGTACAAAATATCTGTAGTTGAAGGCATACAATATATTTAGTTGAGCCATAGAATTGTGGTCAAAATATTTAGATTTCAGCATTAAATACTGCATAGAGGTATTGATATGTCACTAAACAAAATCAAACAAACCAATCTCCTGTTTGGAAAGCATGTATACGGATCACCATTTGATTAAGTTTAGATAACCTAATTTCCCCAAAACTATTCTTTGTATGAAACCACTGGAGATAAACACAGAGATTGTTAACATAATAAAGTGTTTTTGAAAAACATTTCTCTTTTTTCCCAAAACCAATGGATAGTTTTTGATTTTGACTGAAGAATTTATCACTTATCATCATTTTTTCCTGATTTGGTGAGTGTAGCAGGTGAGTAATGGGGTCATATCCAGTTATACTAAATTATTAATAATCAGGTTCAATTAAGGTAATTTTTCTATATTTAATTCCAGTACTCATTCAACACAATCAAACCTCACGTTTTCCCCACCTGTCTCTATACCACAAAACTGGGCCCTTCTAGATTTAACTCTGTTGTCAAACCTCCTTGGGCATCTGCTTAGCTCCCATGAGTGGGTCACCACTCATCTTGCTTTTAGGCTTTTAGCAAACATTTTTTAAAGTCAAACACAGGTTTTTGAGTGTTGTACATGTTTGTGATGTGTAGGTAGTGTAATGGTTAGCAACATGGAAAAGAGAGAATGGTTAGCAACGTGAAAAAGAGAAATGGTTAGCAACATGGAAAGAGAGAATGGTTAGCAGAATTCAAATTTTGGCATCTTGTTACATTCACTTTCACATGAAAAGTGAATCCATCTCTTCTCTCACTACCTAGGAGTAAAATTACAGAGTAGACTAGGAATTGATCTTCAAACTAAAACCAATCAGAATGAACAAATGTTCCCTTGGGGTGGCACTGTGATTTGAAAGACTATTGGGCCTTAAACTACCTTTACAAGAAACAGATCAGGCCATAAATGGAGTACTGTTGTTATATTTGAGATAGAGTCCAAAAGTGTCTCCAAGTCCTTGTGGGTGACAAATTATTCTCCACCCTCCAACCTCTCCCCTACAGGCAGGATGTGACAGGCTTCTTGCTGCTCTCTCACTACTTCCACATAAAGTGCTGGGATGAACTACATTTCCTGGTCCTGCCAATTCAAACCTTTATGGCAAGGACATATCATACCACTTACATAGTAGCAAACCACCTACATTCCCTCCATATTCCATCAGTGAGAAGTAAGTTCCACTCTAACAGCTTCTTCCTGAAAACCACTGGTCTGTGGAACCAACACCAAAGAGGATGTTTCCCTGATCACTGCAATCTTAACCTGTTCAAGGCTAGACTCAACCATTATCTTCCCCTGCTATCTTGTTAGAAAAAAAAAAAAAAAAAAAAAAAGATCCTAATCTGCAAACTTTCCATTACCTCATTGTATATATTTTTATATTTTGTGGAATATGGATATTAATGTCTTTCTTTTTTCTGAACTATCCTCTGACCTCAACTGTGACATTGGCCAGCTAACTCAAGAAATTGGTCAACTCTTGTCCCTACCAACAACACCCTTACACCTAATTGCTTTCCTGACCAACAGCAACTGAAGAACCATATATAAACATTTTTTGCCAAATTTCAAACAACTATGTCTATATTATGAATATTTGATAAATACACACTGTTGAAAATTTAATCTTTGTTTGTTCCTTTCCTTTGCAACCAAATGCTCATTATAACAGCCACAAGGCTGCATAGGTGCTTTTGAACTTTATCAAGATAGGCATGTGAGGATTGGTAGAACAAAGATGAAAGAGAAAGAGAGAAATCCTCTCTTCAAAGCTCAGTCTTTATTCATTTGACTCTGAGAAAGTTCATATATATTGTCTGCTTATTAGCATGCTTTCATGATCGCATTAGCTCACTGAATGCATACAAATTATATTTGCACATGTACCATACCATTATGTTGACAAAAAAAAGAAAAAAAAGAAAGTAACACCAGAAATACTTTACTATTTCACGATAGCATCAATGATAAGGAAATCATTCTTAATTCTCTGTCTTTTGAGCCTACTTGTCTACCAACAGTCACTAACTTGCTTTGCAATTCCAAAGAATATTTCCTCATCACAAATGGGATAACTTTATAGTCAGAAATTGGTACACCCTCTAGTGACTTTAACAATTCTAGTTTCAAGGACAATCACTCAACAATCATATTTGCTTTTCATTTTACCACTTAATGATTTTACAAGAACATACAGGTATTATTGCTACAGATAATTACCAAATTATAGATTACAAAATTATACTAAATTTCCAATTGGAATTTAAACTAAATATGTAAATATTTTTATTTGTTTGTTTTTTATAACCTATACAATAGATGGAATGCATTCTAAATAATTCCCCTTCATAGACTCTCTCAAAGTGTTTGGCACTGCCCATCTCCTCTTCAAATAACACTCACCAAGTTGTTCTAGGTTACAAGAAAAATAGCAAATAGTTTTAAGTTGCTTAATAAGTAGTTTAAAGTTTTATTTTTTTTAAATCAACCTCAGTCAAGATTCACAACTCCATGACACATTGTGAATTCCATAATCTTTTCAATGGATTTATAATATCCGGGCTAAAAATTGGTTTTGAATTCAGTATTGTCCTTCTATTTAATCCATAGCCAGGAGAGGTAAAGATAGATTCATACCTTTTCCAAAAGTATTTGTGTAAAACAGAATGTAACAAACTCAGGCAGAATTCAAACTCAGTTTGACAATTTTTCTTTTCAAGCTCCTAATTGTTATATTTTAGTTTAGCATTACTCTTCAAAGAAAATATTTGTTTTTTTCAAAAGCAGAATAAATATTTCTAGAAGTTTTTTTTTATAAATAGCATTTTGCAGAAGTTTTCATTTGAAAGAGAAAGATTGGTTCTTCAAAGTAACCTTTAATCTTTATTGGGATTGAGAATGGATTATATTAAAATAACATTTAATGTTAGTGAAATTGTGGCAAAGTGGAACTCTTCTATTTTTTATAGTCATTCATGGCATCTCTAGTTTAACAAAAAAAAAAAAAAAAAGAAAAGAGGAATCACAAAATATTTTTAAAAAGATACAAATTTACTTTTCATCTTTTCTATAAAGAATGAAAATTAAAATACCATTTAAAAGAAAATTTTTTCCAATATGCAATTTTCTATTCAGAAATTAATAAGCAGTTTTTTGTTTGAAAAAAGTTTCTGGGTACTCTCACTACTACTGGGAGATAGACTTTTTATTTGAATCCTTTGTGAGGGTGCAGATGTCAAGGTGGTTGTAAACAAACAAAAGAGAGGAATAAGTCATTCAATGGGTGCATCAGGTATATCATTGTGTACGTGGAAATGCAGGAAAATCATCACATGATATGATTTAAATATGAAAATTATTTAATGCTTTTGGTATGGTTAAATTTAACTAAATCTCTGCATTCATCGAATTTTGCAAAGTGAAGACATTGTAGCAACAATTTTCAAGAAATTGAGAAGAAAGAAATGACAGATTGTTTTATATAATACGGATGCATCTATATCTCCCTCTACACACACACACACACATTTTATATATATATATATATATATGGAAAATATTTCTTAGTCATTACCAATGCATTTTGTCAATCTGACTTTATCAAGGCAAGTTTAAAAGCAAAATGTTTTGTAGTTACATCAAATTCAAATTTGTTTCCTATTTAGGATTGAGTTTCCAAGTTCTTTCTAAAGTTTTCTCATTCTCTTTCAATGCATCTAAGTAGCTTCAGCATATTGCTTGCAGTGAATTGATCAAGACAAAAACAAAACCCAAAAAGTAACAAGACTTTCTTAGTTACTTTGCAATGACCAAAGAACAATCGGAATATAGATATTACAAGAACTAATCAGCCAATGATTATGCAGATATAAGACAACCAGATAAAAATAAAATAAAATTTTCTCAAAAGCCAATTTTAACAAACCTATGACAAAACAATAGCTCCATTGCATCTGCGCCCAACTTTTCCAGGTGTTCATAAAATTTGGGTTGCATCAGTCGCAATAATTCACGCAAGTAATTCTGCAAGAAGAAAAGAAAAGAAACATTACAAATAACATTTAATGAATTAAAAAGAAATGATTTATTCTGAATGGGATTTTGTCTTCTTATTTAATTTTTATCAAAAATTTAAAGTTGAAATGGGTAAATGTAACTGTAAGTTCTATGCTAACATTGAATCTACATTGCACACTAGAAACTTTTACAATATGGGCAAATTCTTTAAGCCAAATGTAAATGTAGATAATAAAATTGTGAATATTGTTGATAATATTTAATCTTTACCAATTGTTTGTCCATGTCACAATCCTTTGGAGAGCTGACAAAAATTGTACGCTGCATCAATCCCACAAAACACCAGTAGGCATCTACCTCATGTTGAATTTCTGCTAGAACTGGCGCCAGTAAGTCAGACATTCCTTGCGTATAGCCCATACGAGGGTTGGCAATGGCATAGTTGAGCAAAATATTCCTAAACACACAAACAAAAATATTCACAGCATTTAATTCATAAACACAGATAATAGATAAACAAGATGAAATACAAGATGAAAAAAAAAAAAAAATTTTCCTTTATTTACATCAAAAAAAAATTTTGGATGAAAAAAATCTGTTATAATAAACTTCCTTAAATAATGCTGAAGTCAGTATTTAAGCCAGATGCCTCAAGTTGCAAATTGCATGTGGCCCTCAAACTATCTTTCTGTGGCCTACAAGGAAGTTTTTTTGTGACCAATATCTTCCTCAAATTTAATAATTTTGTCCCTCAACCCTGCTACACTTATGCTGTAGCAGTATTGAATAAGAATCCACAAAGTGACAAAAGACAGTCAATCAATTTTAAAGTCAGTGAGGTCTGTTCTTGTTCCTCTTCAAGGAAGGGAAGAAAACTCGATTTTAATACTGAAAGACGTCTCCTGCATTAACTGGCATGGTACACGTTTTTGTCTCACATTTTGACAATCAATCATTCTTTTTAAAAATTTTGTAAATTCTGTATCTTTTTTAAATATGTATTTAATAAACATGAACAGGTGGAATATGTGTAAAATCTCCCCTTTACTCTTCTGCTCTCCCCTTTACTTTCACAATTTCTATCGCTCAAAAATACCAAACTGATTTAACTTTGCAATGCCCTGGTCTGGAAGTTGATATCCTCCCTATTGCTAATACCTGGGTGACAAGCCCACTTCTGGCCCACTGCACATCTCCCTCAGTATCTAATAGCCTTTTGTGTCCTAGGTTTTAAAACACCTGATTTAAGCTTAATGTCAATTCAACTCACTATTTATAAAATTAATATAATTATTTGTAAATAAGGGGAGACTACTCTGTAATGAACTAAACACCAATTACATTTAAAATTAGTGATAATTGTACTTTTACTATTATATTATCAGCTGAAATATTGTGTTTAATGATTATTCAAGAAAGAAAAAGTGATATTTTTTTTAATAATGCGTCAAACTATTCACAATGAAAGAGGATAAAAAAAAAGATAAATAATTTTTATATAAAATGATAAACTGTGAAATAATGATATGAGGCTGGGATGAAAAGTTCATAGGCTGACTATGAAGGAATGATGCTAGAGCTGTGAAATCTTACATGCATTCATTTCAACTCTTTTTATTAATAAGTGCATTGTTTCTTTCCAGGGACAAGGATGGGCTGAAACATTTATAGGCTGACTATGAAGGAGTAATGCTAGAGCTGTGAAATTTTGTGTGCATTCATTTCAACTCTTTTTATTAATAACTGCATTGTTTCTTTCCAGGTACGAGGGTGGGTTGAAAAGTTCATAGGCTGAAAAAGAAGGAGTGATGCTAGAGCTGTGAAATCTTGCATGTATTAATTTCAACTATTCTTATTAATAAATGCACTGTTTTTTTCCAAGGTAAACTGGCATCTGACTGTTCAAACACAACTTCAAAAGTAATTAGTAGTGACTTCTGTTGAAAATGGACAAAATTTGGCATTGTGGTACCTGTAGAAAAAGGGTTTAGTTTCCAAGGACATTCATGCTAACATAGTTGATATATTAGGGGATGACACTCCAGCTTTATCAACAGTGGCCAGCTGAATTTAGGAGGGAAAGAAGGAGTTTTGAAGATAACCCAAGGTCTGGATGTCCTGCAACTACAACCACAGAGGAAAACATTAATCATGTTCCCCACATGGATTATGGATGACAGGCAGATTGACTATAAATCAAATAGCCAATGCTATTAGCATATTCTGTGAGAGAGTTGAGAATATTCTGCACAATGCTAGTTGGTGGGTTCCATGCTTCTGTGACACCTGATCAAAAGGGCAACAAACCAAGTACATCATAGGAAAATTTGACATTGTTTGAAGCAGATCCAGTTGGTTTCCTAACTCATCACTTTGAACTGGAGACAATCCATGAAGTGGAAACATTCCACATCGTCTGCTCCAAAGTAGGTCAAGGTTGTTTTTTCTGCAGGGAAGGTGATGGCCTCAGTTTTTTTGGGGATTCAAATGCATTATGTTTATTGACTATCTTCAAAAGGGTCACACAATGAAGGGGAACTATGCCAACTTGCTGGGGCAGTTATGAAAGTGTTACAAGACCAAACGCCCAGGAAAACTGATGAAAATAGTCAGGTTTCATCTGGACAATGCTCTAGTACACTAGACTTTGGTTTCAATGGCTGCTGTTCATGACTGGCTTTGAACTGGTTGATCACCCTCCCTGTTCTCCTGATTTGGTTCCGTCTGACTATCATCTGTTCTACAACAAATATAGAACAGTATATAACGGAGGAAAACAGTTATCCTCTTAAAGTCAGATAAGAGGAACATAAGGAATCCATAGGGGAGGTAAAATGTCTGGAAGCTGAAGAGATATCTTCAGATAAACAGCATGATTGGAGATTGGAGAAACTGAAAGAAGTCTTTTGACCAACCAAGATGACACAAACTTCAACACAAGGCCACTATATAACCATCCGTGAAATCAGACTCTTTCACTCGCAAACATTACCTCACTCATTCATCTACAAGAGACACTCTACTTTGAGCCAATGTAGACATTAGTAATGCAGATAATTTTATCTTAACATATCTTGTCTTCTTTTCTTTCCACCCCACTGGAAATACATAGGTATTTGCACTTGCTATTTGCAGTTATACACTATCAGATGCAATCATACACAGTATATAATACATAAATTATATTGAAAAATTTTAATGGAGTGAAATTTAGGTTAGATTTTCAAAAAGTTCTTTATAGATGTTGGAAATCAAAGAAAACCTCTCATATTTATGTATTCTTCTTGACAATATATATCTGCAACCCAAATGGAAAATGTGTCATGCTTATACAAACATCTCTATTAACATATAGCACCACATTATTTGTAAATATTACTACCTTTAATCCTGGGCATCAACTCTACTGGCCATATTGTCAAATTCAGTTATAAGAAGACAATTGTAAAATTGAAACAGTATTGTTTAGCAATCAGAGTTACTTGAAATGGACAGGAAACCATTTTGTTTGGCAAATTAAGTAAATTACAGACTGCTAAAGATTAAGTTGTTAACAGAGATGCTTATATGAGTTTTAAGAAAAGAGGAGTTTTACAGTTTATTACAGAATATTTACAAATATACTTTTGTAGAAGAAAGGATTGACTGAAATGTTGGACTAACAACTAACAAAGTACATGAAGAAAGAATTTAACTGCCTCAACCAAATTTGCAATGTTAATGATTCTTCTCAAAGTTAGAAACAATAGATTTTTCACTTTTATAATTTATTTTTTAAAAGTTTTGCACTCACCATGTTTATAAACTGAATTTTGTTTAACTGAGAAGCTCTAAATACAAATTAAGAAAAATACTTCATTGAATTTTGTATTATTTAATAAAACTTTATGAACTTTAGTTTTCTTTCAACTTTAGCTCGTTTTCAGCCAAAGAAAACTTTTTTCAGGTTTAAGGAAAAAAAAGGAAATAAGAGAAAAAAGTGATTGTTTACTTGAGCACTTCTATGTTGGGGTTGTTTTCTCCCTTGAAGTAAGGATGGCTACGATCTGTACGGACGACATCCTTCTCCACAGTACATTGAATATTGCGCCAGAACTCTCGGTACTCTTCTTCAGACATTGTCTCCCTGGAGAAGACAAAAATAAAAATGGTTGAACAAGATGTAGTAAAAGGTTAAACATAGATAACTGAAGATGTTTAACAAAATTTGTATTTTTTAGTCAGTGAAAAATATCCAAGAAAAACTATGGAAGTCTCACAAATAAAGTCATTCATTTTAGGTAGAAAAAGTTTGTTACAAAACTGAATAGAAAAGTTGTTAGGAAGTATTTTATATAATTTTTTTTAAAATAAAATACTTCCTAACCTAAGATGAAAACAGCAAATGATAAAGTCAAGAAAAATTACATAAATTTACTGGGAGAGTAAAAACTCTCCCAGTAAATTTTAGCAATGTTATTTGTCCACACCTCACATTATCAGGCAGATGGAGAGGTATTTAATCCTATTTATATTTTTCAACCAATAAAATCCCATCAGAAGTTTTGTTGGTTAAACAACTACTACTAGGGCAAATACCGCCAAAAACACTTGCGGATGTAGTTGTTATTTTTTGACCATTTACAAAATAACAATAATAACTCTTTTCACTACTCACACAAATTTGAGAAAAAGACTTTTGCGAGCCAGTGTGAAATTATTTTCTAACCAATGAAAACCTTATATTCAAAAAGTTCACACCTCTATGTAAAATTAGATTTTGAATCTCCTTACAGATATAAAAATAGAAGCCTACTGCTTCTCGAGGTTAAAACCAATTTGAGAGGCCAGTTTGATCTACATGTGTGCGTGCACACACACACAATGGAAGAGATACAGCCAGCAGCTGCTGACTAAGGCCTTATTCACACACACCCAATAGAAGGATTAACCAGTAACTGCCAAGTAAGCCTTTGTCTATGAACACACAAAAACATTAGGCTGTCATAAAATAAGTCTGTTCACACATTTCTCACTATACTAAGAATGCTTAATTACTTTATAAAACAAACTTCACTGCAAGGAAAATTGAATATTTTATTGTTATTGTATATTTCTGAAAAGAATAAACATTATTTCAACTGACATTCTGCTTCTAAGTTACCTTCAAGAAATAACCTTTTTCATGTTTCATTTAAAAGATGTGTTGTTGCTGTCAAATGTTTGGAATCAAAACTGGTTGGGCATGTGGTTTGCAACTCCAAACTGTAAAATTTTACTTGCTACAGGAACCACAACAGTGTTGTGAGGCTATAGTTCTAGCATGGTGAGGCTGTAGCACTATACTCCACAGTGGAGTCTAATTGTATTAAGGAGGAGGAGTAGGCATACGGAAATGTTAAATGAAAATCTGTCAGTTAAAAATTTTAAAAGTAAAAAAAAAAAAAAAAAACATTAATGATCAAACATATATTTATGATTGTCAAAATATTGACAATAGTTGATGTATTTTTAAAATACATTTCTTTTGATGGTTTTGTATTTTTTATAATACAAATATATTTAATCTGCAAATAACATTTTTCCAGATATAAAATTTTTGATATAAATAATTTTCAAAGAGAGAAAAAGAAATTGAATAATAAAATGTAAGAAAATATTTTACAACTTACTTTAGTTTGCGAATATCCTGATATTGTATAAACTTATCATTTCTGATATGTTCACGGTCCAGAAATGTGGAGTCGAATGGATAATAATGTAATAAGAATGGCCAAGCTTCATGCCGCAATGAGGCTTCAACACCTCCAAAAAATATTGCCTGTAAAAAGAGAAGAAATAAGCCTTAAAATTTTTAGATGGCAAATTTAACTTGATTTGAATTCAGTTCTGAAAATATTCCAAGAAATTCATCATGACAATTTTGTCCTCTTGTCCTAAGTTCTCTGCGTTTTTGAGAAATTGCAATAAACAATATTTTAATGCTTTTCTTGATGAATACAGAAGTTATCTCCCTTTTTTACCCAAGAGAAATGTTCTAAGACCTATCAATTTGAAACCACAGAGTACACTATGTATACTATGTTTACACACTCATGATAAAATTTAATTTATAAATTAAGCACAATAAGTGATTAACATGAAAAATTAATAATAAAATAGAACAATTCTAACAATATACTACAATAAAAGTTATGCACTAGATTTGTTTTTGCTGTAACTCTTATTAGACATAATAAAAGATGACTAATAATCAGTAAATTGTTGGTGGAACTCATTGCCAATTATTGGAGTGCTCATTGACACTTTCTGCTGTGTAAAATGAATTCAATCTGAAGAGAAGTGTGCAGTCACCACATATGGTAGGATAAGGAGGGTTCCAGGGAATGTAGAGCTCTGGTTTTTCTTTGGATTTCTCTTTGTCTCTTCTATTTGCCTTTGATGTTTTTGAAGGAATGTACTTTTATCATGGACTCTTCTTTGCCAATTGGTTCTTCCATCTCCCAATTGATCAGATTGATTTCTGTCCTCAGCAAGGGGTTTTTCAGCTGATCCTTGAAATGTTGCCGTGGAGCTCCACTTGGTCTCTTGCCAGATGCAAGCTCCAAAAAGAGAATTGTTTGGGTAGGTGGATGTCTGGCATTCAGGCAATGTGTCTGGCCCATTGAAGTTGGTAGCAAATCATGATAGTTTCTAGTCTTTGTGCAGAGGAGAGCTTTGTTGTTCATGCTCTGCTCCTGCCACATGCGCCATAGGATTTGATGAAGTTTCATTTGATGGAATCATTCAAGTTTGCAGGTGTCTCTTTGGTAAGAGTACCTAGGTCTCATAGGTGTACAGGAGAGTAGACCTTAATGGTTTGTGCTAGCCCAGGATTGCTGAAGATTCTTTGGAATAGTTTTCTGCATATAATAAAACTTAGGTGACAGATTTATTCTTGCTATAGTTCTTATTAGACACTTTAAGAGATCAACAAAGATGATTAATAGTAATACTGGACAATATAATGTAATAAAAGTTAGGTGACAGACAGAAGAATTGTTAACACCTTAAGCAAATGATTTTTTTCTTTTGGTAAGTCAAGAAGTTTCACATTTTTCATTTAAAAGAAGCACTTTACGGCTTTTCTTTAGCATATCTAAATTGTCGGCCTCATTAATCTTGCATTTTGGAACTATAAAAAAAAACAACTTATGAATTGTTTCTTTCAATGAATGATTACAAAAACATGAATAAAGATACTCTTTATCCAGGGTTTTGTTTTCTGGGATGGAGAGGATGTTATTGTATCTATTTTCTATTCAAACTATAATCATCCTGAATTTATTGCATTTCATTAGACAAGATCACATGTATGGTTTATTGGCCATAATATGGAATTGTGGTCATCTGCTTACCTTTCTGAGTTGAAAATCATCTTCTATTTGCCCATGAATGTTCATATGCTGTTGCCAAATTTCATCTGTGACCAGGCCATAAACCCCTTCCTCAGGATGACACTGGCTATCCATTAGTGTAGGCTGGACGATGAGGAACTGCCGGTAGGGAGATTCATCTTTACG